CTGACAACAGAATTGTAGTTGCTGTTTGTTGTGTAGTTGGCAGTGGTGGCGCAGTTTGGGTAGATACAACACAGAGTGATCATTAGATCCAAAACACAGGCGCCCAAGCTGTCTTCACCTGACGGTTACAGACTTGGAGACACGCCTTCACAATACTGCACAAAACCCATGCAGTAGAATAGAGTCAGTTCTTGCATACAAATCCCAACAGCTCTATCCTACAGCAATTTCAAACCAAGGAGGAGGATGTCGGAGATTGCTTCAGCAACTGGCGGCAAGCACCACTACCCTAACGGCATCGACATGGGCGAGGGCAACCTTCGCTTCCCCCAAATCATCACTGTTTCGACGGACGCAGGCCGCGCGTGGTTCGCTCGCGGCTGGATGCACATGCTCAACTACAACCACGAGGAGGCCGCAGAGTGCTTCAAGACATGCACTGAGGTTGACCCCAGGTGTGCCATGGCCTTCTGGGGTATCGGTGAGTCTTTCATGCGGCTTGAAGCCCTCGAACTCCAGCACACATCATAGGTACTCGCGCAACGCTGCACAAGGTACAGATATATTGGCGCCACTGGAGAGCCCGTGAATTCCTTCCTCCTGCACACCTTTCACACCAACACTCCGCACGGCGCTGCAAGAGGTACAGCAGATACACCGTAAGAGTGCGAGGCATCGCACTCACGTGCGGTCGTTTTGAAACACACAGGGGTGCGATGACTCCGGACTCTGCGATGACGCCGGACTCTGTGAGGAAATCGAGTTTAATCAATACTGCTGCTGTATTGTAGGTCTTGCAACACAACACACGCACGCACTCCTAGACTGTTGGAGATGACTCCCGGTGTATCGGTACTGTTGAGCGACCCCGAGCAAAACCAACCCTGAAGGCGATGCTTGGAATTTTCAGGCACAACCCTGTATGATCACTCCGGTATAAGGGGTACTCGAATAAATGTGTGCGCAACGCGCACACACGCGCACATCGGTCAACCAGTTAGCGCGGTGGGTGCATTTGAGACAACATACATGCCAAACCGATTTGCGGCGAAATATACACGGCGAAATATATCAAACCCCGCCCTCGGAAATATCAAACCCCTCCCTCGAAAAAACTGACGGTTCCCGCCCGTCGAGTTTTGCGCACACCCGACACCCGGTAGTCAATTGTCTTGGCTTGTGGGCGCAATCGTTTGTCGTGTTTTTGGTCGAGTGGATGATGATTGTATATTCAACAAAGATGTCAATGGAAATACGTGTGCATCATCTCTTGTGTACCTCCAGATACATACATCATGCCTTTTTTTTTTTTTGCCTTCGGACAATTGCAGATGTACCTGAGAAAACTTTCACTTAGTGTCTCATGCTCTACATGAATATTAAACCAATACGAAGTACAACAACATATGTAGGACTTATTTCTACTGTCACTTACATCGTAAAAATATCTCCTGTTCAACTTGAATCAAAACCAATGACAATCCTCATGGTATCCTACATGCCTTCTCTTAATTTGTAGTGCATGCTAAGAAACAGCCGGCACCGGCACGTTACAGGGGTAAAAGTTGCACCGGAATACTTGGCACTCACCTACCCTAGGTTGAGATTCATAACACTCCTGTGGGACGACTCCGGACTCTGTGTGGGAATCGAAGTAAATATTGAGGTTTCGACTTTTACCATCGGGGTTGGGTTTTCGTCGCTTGGCAACGACGTTGTAAAA